CTGGTGATGACAGGACCGTCTCTAAAATTCCTCCGAACGGAGGGGGTTGGGTTGCAAATTGTAACATGTAACCCTAGCTTAACAACCTGGCCATCCATCTGTCTGGCGAGCATGTTTTTAGCCACTCCGCGTAACGTTCATGGAGTGGACGCGCGTTTAAGTGATGCGTCATGTTTTGTACGGATGTCATTCAGTCCACCGCCTTGACCGTCGTCATGTGTCGCGGGAATGTGTTCCGTGTGACCCAAGGCGAGGCTTCTCGAAAGGGCTCTGAACGCGCCTGTGTGCTGCGTTCGGACCGCGGATCCACCTTCATGTCTAGGTGGGCCGGTGTGTGTTGAGGAGAAGCGTGTGACAGCTTATGACGCCGCTGAGCCGCGCGTTTGACGCCACTGCGGTGAAAAACGCGTGTCGCTCCTGCCACGAGCAGGGTCCTGCGTTGGGCTCGCTTTGCGATCCCGCATTTATGCTGACATGAGCGGACGGGAGCTGAGAAGTGGTGAATGCGACTTCATCTACGCCGTGCCATTTGAGGGAAGGCTGCGAGCCCCGCGGGAGCACGCGTTTTCTTTGGTGGGACGCGCGTCACTCTCGCTTGGGCGAGATTCGTCACTGGGTTCACTCAGCTGTCTCACGCTAATGCTGACATGAGCGGCCGAGCGCTGAGGAGTGATGCGTGAAGACTGCCTCCGCCGCGGCGGCACGCGTTTGCTTCGGTGTGGCGCGTGGTGCTCTCGCCGAGAGCGAGGTCCTTCACCGACCCGACCTGCGGTCCCACATTTATGCCGATTTGAGCCGGTAAACGCCGGGGAGCTGTGTGTGCACCATCATCAATGCAACGCCGTTTGGGTGAAGGCTGTTTGCGTCGCGCGAGTGCACGTTTGCGCGTTTGACACCGCTTGGGTGAAGATCGTGCAGCTCAGGTTGACTACGAGTTATTTCGCTTACCACTATTGTGTTATGTGAGCATCTCGTCATGTCTGGAGCAACGGTGAGTTTGAAAAACCTTTATTTAAGGACACCGGCTCATTTTTGTGGAGGATGTGTGCGTAGCCGCTGTGAGTTCATACGAGCTTATAGACTGGCTAAAAACAGACACTTTGATCATTGAATGATGTTTTATTTCAACATTTGTGTCATCTTTACACACACCCTCCACAGACCATCATTTTGAATCTTTTCCCCTGTGAGCTCTGGGATTTGTTAGCCCAGGGCACCATCTGCTGGGGATCTCTGGGAAAACGTTGGACACTCTGTTGCCGGGATGAAGAGGGCCGGTCTCTGACGGCGGCGCTGTGGTGAAGCTCAGCGAGACGGCCGTGGAATGGCTTGCCACCGGCTCATTTCGTGTGGAGGATGTGAGAGGGAGCCGCTGTCAGGTCATCCGAGCTGTCTGACTGGCTAAAGATAGACACTTTCATCATTAAATGATGTTTTAATCCAAACTCATGTCACCTTCATACACATCCTCCGCAAAAACCATCATTTGCTCTGCCATTTGTTGTCCTAGAGCGCCATCTGTTGGCGGTCTCAGGGAAACACTGAAAACGCCGTCCTCCGGCTGCGATGCGGGCCGGCAGACAGCAAAAGAGGCGCACCGGTTGAGGATGACGTCAGCTGCCCTGCAGAAGGAGCATACGTCTCCTCCCGCCTCTGAACGTGTACGCCAACAGCATAACGTGTTGTTCGTTGTGGCCGTCTGGAACGCGTGCTGGTGAGCTCGGTTGGAGAGCGGTGTCACCGTCTGGGTTATGCTAACCGGAGGCGCGGGACGTTGGTCCACCTGGACATCTTGCTCTGAGAAAAGCCTCCGTCAGGCTCGGCTCCAGGGGGCACTGAGGGAATTTCCGCTCCGTGAAACCCCTCTTCTCTGGTGATGGGCGCGGACTGTGGGAACCGGCGCCCCAATCTACCAGGAAACCGGCTGTGGCCTCGTCCCCGTAGGACGTCCTGTTGGGAAACCGAGGCCAGATGGGATCAGGACGGCGAGCCGGGATGGAGCCCAGAAAAAACCTTCCCGCCGGATCATCTGAACTGGCGGATATGGCACGGGACGTAAAAAAGGGTCCCTTCATGCCAGCCGCCTCCTGGGTTACACCGAGCAAACCCCAGAGGGTGCCGTCGGCCGGGAGCGGTGTGATCGCCGATGCGAAACAAGGTGGGATGAAGTGAGCATTCGCTCAGCCCCCCTCCACCGACACTACGCTCTCCAGGAGGGAATGAGCAGCGGGGCTGCTGCTGACGTCGCCTGTCCCGGAGGAACCATCTGATTCACTCCGAGGGTCGGCGATAAGAGGAAAATTACAAGATGGCGTTGTCCAGCGTGTAGCGACCTGTCAGTGCGAAATACTCCTCGGCGCTTACCTTGAAACAAAACTGCTCATCAGCTTCTCCTCGGGGAGGAGAGCTCACCAGGATGACCTGAGGTCGACGTGACGGGCCAAGCATTCTTAACAAAGGTTGGTCATCTACACAACTTTCCTTCTTCATTCTTTTGACAGTGCTTTTAGCTTGCTGAAGAAAAATGGGAGCCGATTACCCGCTCTTAACATAATTTATACAGACCGGGTGGGGCCCACACAACAGGTGGGCGTGGACTAAATTTTTTCAGTGTAATGCTCCGAATGATGGGATAAACCCATCAGCGACAGCCTTAAAGGGCGAAGCTTATACAAAATAGAACTGAAATTTTATCATGCTCTGCTGTGGTAAGTGGTACAGTCCAGTTCTCTTCTAAAAAAAAAAAAAAGCTCACAAGACAGTATGTCTGATGTTATTTTTCTTATAGATACTTGTGCCAGTAGTGGAGCTGACCACGCTATGTTTATGCTCTGAATCACTCATTTACAGGTAATTAATTGTGTTATACTAAATGCTCTGAGTTAAGTCAGTTACGTTTGCACAGCCAAATGCATCCGGTTAATAATATACTTTGTACAAATGATTAGAATGTTGGGAATGTCAGAAAACAGATATTTATAGTTTTGGCTGGATTGGTAATATAAAAGCTCATTATGCAGGGTTGCATGAAATAGAAATGCTAACAGTTATTCTTCCTTCCTCATTGGTTATGTACTAACCCTTCTGTTGATTTATCTTTGCATAAATTAATCAAAAATAAAGGGAAACATACTGTATCTCGTATTCTCATGAAGCTTCGGTTTGACATTTTTCCACCTTCACCATCTGTTCTCCACACTGTAACTTCTTAACACATTAAAGCCAGGCTCCAAACACCACAAGAACCGATAAAGTAAAATAAAATAAAATACACAAATACAAAGGCATATCACTGAACTGTACAAACATAATGAGGCAAATAAGCATAATTAACAATAAAAATGCAAGTAAGACAAATACCTCGTTGGCTGCGAGAGTCTGCTCTCTATATGGGAATACTTGCAAAGTCACAGGGTGTTCAAATACTTTTCCTCGCTGTATATATATATATATATATATATATATATATATGTTTGTATATATGTATAGTGTTCGCTTGTTTTGATATACCGGTACAGTAGAATGTGTTGTAACTTGTCTCTGTATAAATAAAGTGAAGTGGTACAAGACCCATCAATATGTGGGAGATAATTCTCCCATCTCTCGTTTTTCACCTCTTTGGGGCAACTCTTGTTTTAAGGCAGGAAGAGCGGATGGGGGTTTTAAAATCTGGGCAGATAAAGGAGTACAGAAGGTGGCAGACCTTTATAAAGATGGTACCCTTCTCACATTTGATCAGTTATGCCAAATATACAACATTCCAAAGAAACATTTTTTTAAATACTTACAAGTTAAACATTTCATTAAGTCAAAATATAAACAGATTGTCTCTGAACCACCATTATCATACTTGGAGAATATTATACTGCAAAATTTGGAGAGGAGAGGTCATATTTCTTTATTTTATACAGCTCTACTAACACATGATAAGGAGTCTACCACCGATAAATTGGATGCATGGAAATCGGACATCCAAGATGAGATAGAGGAGGCAGACTGGGAAGCTGCATGTTTAAAAGCTCAAAAACAATCAATTAACACAAGGATGAAACTCCTTCAATACAAATGGTTGATGAGAACCTACATAACCCCAGTCAGGCTGAATCGCTGGTCCCCTGACATTCCAGACAGCTGTACTAAATGTTTAGATGAAAAGGGTACTCTGCTGCATTGTGTATGGAGCTGTCCAAAGATACAGCACTACTGGGAATCAGTTATACAAACTTTGTCTAAGATTGTTAGAGTAAATATACCTGTTGATGTAAAAATGTGTGTGTTAGGTATATACCCAGAGGATTGTGTTTTTACTTCCAGACAGTTAAAATTGATTGACTTTGGACTCCTGCAGGCCAGGAGGTTAATATCTTTGTACTGGAAGAAAATGGATGTACCCTCAAATCATGTGTGGGTGAAGGAGATGGCATCTTGTATTGTACTGGAACGACTTACTTATATCGTCAGAGGTAAAGGATTAGACTTTGAAGAAATATGGTCACCGTTAACTGAATTTCTGAGACATTACAAGGGAAAATAATTCAGAAAAGGATGCTTGGAGCTGAGCTTTATCTTATCTTATTTTATTATATAGATATATGCTGTTTTTTATTTTATTTTTTTTTATATTACTTTATTTTTACTATTTTATTTTTACTTTATTTATTTTAATTTAGTCACATACATTCATTTATTTTTTTATATATTTTATTTATTTATTTTATTTGTTTACTTTGGGGATTATGTTGTTTATTGGAAAATAATGTTAATTGTACTATTATCATTTGCTTGTTTTATAAGATAAAAAATCAATAAAAAAATAAAAATAAAATAAAATAAAATAAAGTGAAGTGGATCCTGCGGCGGTCGTTCGTCCCCAACACTCTCTGAGGGTCAGCTGGACCGACAGGCTGCGGGCGATAGGCATTCATTCAAGGGGCGTTCGATTTTTCATGTAAGTGATTTAAAACCACGAAGACACAAGAAGCTGAAACCTGGCTGTCTGTGGCTGAAACATGTGAAAAGACGACCAAGAAGAAGAAGTAGAAGAAGAAACATTTTTCAAGGGAGAAGGTGGTTCTTGTTTTTCACCGGCGTTGGAGGAGAACCGAGCGGACCGGTTCGGAAGGAAAGTAGTAGCAGAGAGGAAGAGGAGCAGGAGGAGAAGAGGAGCAGGAGGAGAAGAGGAGCAGGAGGAGGAGGAGTCTGTTTTGTTGACATCGGGACGAAACCGAAAATCAGATGAGTTTGGAGAGCCGATAACACTTTGTTGTGTCCCCTGTCATCCAGACCTGCAGCCAGGGCGACAGCTGAGGTAAAGTCCCGACTGGAGGTGTGTCGGAGCCCGGCAGAGCCGGGTCCAGAGCGGAGCTGGACCGGTCCAGAGCCGGACCGATCCAGCTCCGCTCCGCTAGCCTCCTGCTAACACCGCAGCAGGAAAGTAGTAGCTAGCATCAAGCTAATTTAGCCGCTAAAACGAGCTGCAGGCAGAAAGATACATTCTAACTTTTAATAACAAATGTTTCTCCTGTGACTTTCAGCTTCTAGTGATCGTTCAGGACGAAAGTGTGAGTTTGTCAGCAGCTTTAAAGCTTTAATGTTTCATGATGTTGCACAGCTGCTAGCTGGTTAGCTCGCTAACTTGTCATCGGTGTGTGAGTCCGGTTCTGTTCAGACCCGGTTCTACTGAGGTTCTGACCCAGAGACAGGCCGACACTCAGCTCTCACACTGTGTTCACACATATCAAAGTGATACAGCTTTTTGTTATGAATGACTTATTTCAGATTAGCCGACATTAGCTGTAAAGTTGAAACACGGATTCGCTTGAATTTAACATTTGACAGATAATAACCGTAATCAGTTAATATGTTTTATCTTACATAAATTACTACTTTATTATTTACCGAGTTATTTTAAATTGCATTAAAAATTTTCTCTCAAGATCCCAGCGAACAGGGATTTACAGAAACAAACATTTTCTGCTAAAACTCCGAGCTGAATAACAGCTGAAGGTGGCTAGGCAAGCTAAAGCTGTTGTTAAAGTTAAAACAAAGAAGCAGAAAGTTAGCTACAAGATACAGCAAACGCACTAAAGCTTAAACAAATGTAATAACTAGCTAAGGTCAAAGAAACACCAGCTAAATTCTTACACTGAGCAACAGCTTCTACCCTGAACCTTGACTCATAAATCCATAACCAGAATAATCACTGTAATGACACTTTAATTGATGATATATGCCTTATATGTGCTGCTGATTATCTCATGCTGCTGATTATCTCATGCTGCTGATTATCCATGCTGCTGATTATCCATGCTGCTGATTATCCATGCTGCTGATTATCTCTTGCTGCTGCTTATCCATGCTGCT